ATATATATTTATAATATTACATAGTATATTATATATTGTATTTGATATTTATTCTATTAATATATAATTTTATTATATAATATTATAAATATATATTATATAAATAAAAGATGATATATAATAAAATATATTATATATTATACAAAAAATTATATTATGTATTATACAATAAAATATATACATATATCATATATAACGTAATGTAAAATATAATATAGTGTATTTTATATTTATTTTATTAATATATATTTGTATTATATAAGATATATTATATAGTGAATTATTTTATTAATCTTTATTTTTCTTATATAAAAGACTTCAAATAATATTATATGATATATATGTATAACATATATTGTGCTTTTTTATTTATTTTATTATAATATATATATATATATATATGTTATTATACATTGTATATATTTTTATTATATAATATTGTAAATATCTATAATATAATATATAATAAAATATATTATATATTATACAATAAATTATGTTGTATATTATACAATAAAATATATACATTTTATATATGGGGGGTTTTTCATTAAAAAAAGTTCCATGTTGAAGTTCCAACCCTTGGGTTGGAAGTTTTGTTTTTAAAACAAGATTGGAACTTCAACAGTTTTTGAAAGTTTTGTTTGAAGTTCAATTTTTTTATCAAATACGAAATTTGAAAAGTATTAAAAAGTTCTAAACTTCTAGATAAACACTTCCTGTTATCAAACACACCCTAAAAGTATCATATTAGTTAAACTATTGTTAGAACCAACACGCAGCAGGGATGCACCCGCTTCAAGTCCACCTCGTTAGTTGGGCGGGTCTCCGCCCGCGCATTCTATCCGTGGACTTTCCCAAAATGAAGTAAGCTTATGAGTTTTTTTTTATTTCCAAGGAAAAGTGTTTAGTGAGGTGGCCGAAACATACTATTTTTGTGTGGTCTCCCTACAAAATATATCTCAAGGGTGTATTTAAAATCCAAAATTTCGATAATTGTAACCATGACATGACAATAATCTAAAGGAAAAATGACCTACACCCCCTTCCATATAATTTTCATTCCTATTAAACCATCCTATTAGACCATCATGTTCACTAAAACCTCTTGTACCCCCTCAACTTTTAAAGTTTGGGGCAGTTAACCTCTCAATTATATTTTTTTTATTCTTTTTAGAATTTCATCGTTTTGTTTTACTAAATGCCTAACCCATCCATTAATCATATATATATGTTTTTTTATGACTTTATATACAAATTTTAATAGCTGCAACAACAACAATAATATATTAATTGCTAAATAGTTCATCTTTTATTGGTATTTTAATAATATTCTTTAATAAATAATAATAATAATAATAATCCATCAATAATAGGAAATAAAGATTTTGATTTATCATTTAACAAGTTCAGAAAGTATTGATGCAATTGTAAAATAGGTCATAATATTAAAAAAAAAAAACCGTTTTATTTTCGAGTCTAAATTTATAGAGTGGGGACAAAAGAGTTAAAATTGGTTTTGGGCAACAGAATAAAAAAAGAAAGGGAATTGACTAATAGATAGGTTTGACATTTTGTAAAACAAAAAGATTACATTTGTTAAAAAAACAAAGGATAATATAATTGGGGGCCTAAAGGTCCTAAAGTTTTTAACTTGAGAGGTACAATGGATTTTGGTAAACCCAAAGGTCTAATAGGATGGCAATTACAAGGAGGGGTATAAAGTCATTTTCCCTAATCTAAATTTGGAATGTTGTTTGGAAAAAATATAAATATTAATTTTTGAATGGTGTGGTTTTTATAAGGTTGCAACCTTCAACAATCCAATTAAGGTGCACTTTCAAATTTTATAATAAAATTTAATTTTATTTTAGAATATTTTTAGGTTATCTTAAAATCTATTTTCATATCTAATTAGAAATTTTTAAACTCCAAAAATGGTTAAAATCAAGTAGATCTATAAACATATGAAAATCTTGAAAATGGACAATCTAGATAATGTGTTGCAAGATGTACTATTTTTGGGACTCAAAAACTTTTATTTTCTTCATATTCATAAATCTCAACGTTGAGATGATCAATTAGACTGTTTTTTAACATTTAAACAATCTTTCTGATATATTTTTGAGATACATTTGTAATTCTACATTTTAAAGTTGCAACCTTATGTAAATTTTTTCCTTTTTTGAATTCTTTTATTTACTGTCCATTTTAACTTTTAGTGGATATAGCATTTGTTGGCATCCATCTTAATCATGGGCGGTACATAAACAAGTAGGTCATTTTCCCTTACGTATACTTAGAATGTCTTTTTCAAAAAATATAAATATGATTTTTTAAATTTCTTTCTTCATTGTCCATTTTAACTTTTAGTGGCTACAATATTTTTTGATATCGATAGACTTGGACGTTAGATAAACAAGTAGGTAGGGGTGGCAATGGGTCGGGTCTGAGTATGGGTCCAAAAACTTAGACCCAGAAGGTTGGATTCGGGTCCATGTGGGCCTAACCCAAAT